TCGCAAAACCACCTAACCGTCTTATCCTCCGCGGCCATCCCGTGTTCGACATCCCCTCAAACATGTGGTACCTTCACACTCAAGGCCCGCCCAAGTTGGTCTTTTGAGAGTACCGCTGTCGAGTCCTCAGGGACATCGGGTGCGCCGACGACATGTTCCCATATGGCTCTACGGGCAACCGCTGCCCGCATTTGCTGCTCGTTGGGAGTCCTCGCTCTACCCAGGCAAACTTGCAGACCCGCACGCAGCGCGTTCCACCCGCATTTGCCATCCCCTTCTACAGTATGCACACCAGCTCCGGCCAAGGGGGTAACAACCCTCCCACCTTGNGCAAGCTTGCAGACCCGCACGCAGCGCGTTCCACCCGCATTTTCCATCCCCTTCTACAGTATGCACACCAGCTCCAGCCAAGGGGGTGATAACCCTCCCACCTTGTGTCAATGTTGTGCTGCACTTCAAGCTGAGCGCCTGAGGCCCACCGATGTGCTCCTGTACCCTCCGGCCCAAAGCACTCGGTGGGGGAGCTAGCTCCTGTCTCTTGTCAACTCGGAACACAACTTGGTGGTCCGAGTCCGAATCCACAGCAGGAGTGTTCATAGAGCTCGTGCGAAAAATCGCTAGAAGCACGAGAAAAAACGGCCTCATTATCGCGTTTCTGCGTGCGTGCTGGATTGCGGTCCCTTTTGCACAGCGCGGGTCGGGTGCTCGGCAACGTTGCAACTCCCAAGCTTTGTTTTTTTGTGTAGGGGACTCTACTGCTGCTGTCCCCGTCGTTATTTAGTTCCTTTTTCGACGGTCTACTCGTCCAGTCCAGCCCTTGTCGACGCAGGTATCCATAGCTCAATTCGGGCTCAATTCGGTTCGATAAATGTCGCATTAAAGAGTCATCGGAGCTGGGAACGGAGCTCATTCGTGGGTGTAGTCACATAAGGGTTAACTATGGGTCTCCAACAGATACGGTTGACGCTGCTGTGATTTCTAGCCATCTTTGGAAACACATTTCCCGCCTAAGGTTGACCAAGTCTCAAAGAGAGTAGGCCTCCGCGTCCGGGGCCTTGTAGAATGTGAATAACCATCAATCACGGCACATCTGTCCGAGCACACATAATTTCCATTCTGTGGATAAAGAGGCGAAACTACACTGTTCTGAGAAATCGAAAAACACCAAAAGTGCTGCCTCATTCGGTCACAAGTCATTTCTCTCAATGCTTCAATCATATACCTGGCCGAGTGGTGCCCCACCACTCGCTTGGAGTCCTGCATGCATGCGCGCCTCTGCCTGCCCGAATAGAGCGATCACTCTACTATTGTTCATGGGCAACGGGGCCGGAAAAATGACAGTGAATAGCAAAGACGGTGAAATAGTTGCTATTATTGCATGGATGGGAATGCGTGATGGTTTCTATGCATGACACGTTATGAATATGTCTTGCAAAAATATATTTGAACCAACCAACAGCGTGGGTGCAACTTAACTCGTTCTCTTGTTCAGCCGCACCCAGCCAACTGATGCCCCTTGAAGGATGCACGTGAATGTAGTATTGATGCGAATATTTACTCGCGTGAAATATTGCTCATCATATGTTATGACACTGATTGTGGATAGAAATGAATGTACTTTCCGTATACGAATTTCGGTACAATACCAACGGGTAAACAAGCGTAGCGCCTCATAGGGCCAGAAGAAATATCTCGCTGTACGGTCCACCAGGCCCACTGATGACCCCCCGTTACTGATACCAACTTCTGGATGTTGTACCTCTGCCTGCTCAAACAGAGCGATCAATCCAAATGGATCGGCAACACGGATGCATGTCCTTTACGGTGGAGTTGAGAGAGATGGCTTTCCTTTAAAGCAAAACACTGACGTTGATTTAAAAGATCAACGTCTACATGTAGAGTGGTGCCTAATTCCTCCGTGGAATAACGCGATCGATCCACGTCGAAACACCGGAATTCAAACACCGGAATTGAAACTGAGAGAGCTGAACTGAGAACAGAACCTCTAGCACTAACATGTTATCCTGCACTCGACTCGTGTCGAACAAAAAATAGGGCGACAGTCCCCCCATTCACGCGCGCGAATAATCTGTGTAAGATGTTGAGACCAATAGGGATCGGTGAGGTTCAGGTGGAGAATTGCTGGGTGTTTCGAGCTCCGTTCATTCTCTCTGCCAAACGAACGTCCCACAGAGCCATTCATTCCCAAAGTAAAAACTTGCAGGACTTGTCTCGCACAGCGACCACGAAAGCAAGCTGGAAAACTTGGTATTTCTCACGAAGTGAAAATCAGACTCTTCTCTTGCTACGGTGTGAAACGCTCCGCCAGCATTCCATCCGTAGAAGAAGTCACTTCAAAGTAGTCACCGGAACGTGTTGTGGAGCGCTAATATGAATAATCGAGAACAACAGTATTTGTGATAAATCCTTAAATGGGAGGCATCGCCCCAAAGAACGAGCACACGCGATTTTTGTTGCCGCTGAAGAACTTCCAAGATGTTCGACTGCCTCACAGGAGGGGGCGAACGACGCTGCCGCACCCAATGGCGATGTCCGCAAAACAGGCCTTTGCCACCCAGTAAAGCCCCATGCATGGTGCTAGAACACACATTGTGGGTGATGGTTGTTCCTGAGGTGGATTATGCCATCCTTACGAAGGCTACTGCGGTAGTACTCATGTGTGGTTTTGAGCTATGCAAGTGCGCAAGTGCGTGGCCGTCCATCGGTCATTTGGATATTCGGGGTATCTCCTGTAGCAGAATCTTTGGCAAGTTGTCGCGCGTTCCCTGCTGTCATGTGTTCCGAGTTCCGAATGCGTCTTGCGACTGTTGCTCGCGTGTCTCGGTGTTTGTGATGCACCCGGGTGCTCACTCTCTTCCGTTGCTTGTGTCAACGAGGACAACCAATGAAACGACTTGACCATCTGTTCACATTGTCAACCGGGACAACCGTGCTCATCCAGCAGCACTCGGCTTGGGGCCAATCAACACTCTAGAGTTGAGGCGTTAACGCCATAGTCTAGTGCGGGAGACACACATGTCTTCGGAAGACTCTGGGAACTCTGGCGGGGGCGAGGCCGGCCCGACTCATGAGGAGCTTAGGACGGCCATCGACGACGCCGTGGGCGACGCCAGCACCAGACGGAGAAGATGATGACGGAGAAGCTGGAAGGCATCGTGAACACCTTGTCCCGTTTTGTACCCGGGGCACCGCCCGCCGGAAGTGCGACCGCAGCGGGCGGCGGGGGGGAGTCACTGGGGAGGATGCACGCCTTCCCTGGCGCGGGTCAGTTGGACTACGCGCCGAATACCGGACGAGGGCTCGAGGGAGCGAGAGGGCTGCGAGGCCCGGAACCACGAGGAGAACCCACGCCATCCGAGGGAGCCGTCTCGCGAGAAGGCTCCCACAGTGAGCAGACCGCATGGTATGCTTCTAACTCTCACGCCCGAATCCCTCGCCTGAAGCAACTCAACTTCGACGGACACGAAAAAAACTGGACGATTTTTAGGAATGACTTTATGACGCAGGTTCCAAACATGCGGAATGGGTAACGCGCTAAATGACAACAGGGACATCGTGGTCCAAGGGATAGATGATGAGGGTATGGTAGGGCAGGGAGTGAGAGTAGAGGAGATTGGCATGTATCGGGATCTGTGGGGGACGCTGACCGGAGCGATCTCTGACAACACCACCAAAATGATGGTATACGGTTATAAGGGACCCTCGGCGGCATGGCGTGCGTTGGAAGAGACATTTTCCCCGTTGACTGGCGGCGAGCAGATTTCACTGATAGGCGATTTTTTCAACGCCCGACAAGGGAAGAACCAGTCCACCCGAGTGTTTTACCAGGAGTTTAAATTCATAGTGACCAGCCTAGAGTTGGCCTTTGACCAGCCCATCCCCAAAATGCTCGTCTATGCAAGATTCCTTGACGCGCTTACCGAAGATTTCAAGGTCCAAAAGCAACAACTGCTCGCCCAGAAAACACTCGATGACGCAGAGATTTTGAGAATTCTGCGTACACGGGCTGGACAACTGAAAATGGAGGATACGAAGGGGAAGAGTGAGCAGCGAGCACGCCACGCTCTCGTAGCGGTAGAGGGAAAAGGAAAAAAGGCCGTCGAAAAAGAACCGAGGTGAGGAAGAGACGAACTTGGCCAGCGATAAGAGAGTCAAGTGCTACGTCTGTGATGGGGACCACTTTGCGAGTGCATGCCCAGAGAAGCTTTGCCAGAGGTGCGGAAAAAAGGGGCACAGCGTGAAAAACTGCCCATCGACAACTGAGACTGCAGTCACCGCAATTGAGGTTGGAGTTAGGGCTGTCGAGTTGGACGTCGCATACGAAGCACTCTGATGATATCTAGATCGGTTTTTCCCCGTGGTGCCTCAACGTCCCTCCCCTTGCGTGCGTTGCTTACGAATCGGCTTGTCGGCATTTTCCTTTGCGACTGTTGAAATTACAATCATGTGGAATTTTTTCTGGTGTGTTATTTTTCCGCCGCTCGCTCGTTGTTTTTTTCCTTGTGTGTTTGATTGGGATACGAGGGTCATACGTCAGCCTTCCCTGATTTCAGGCAATTAACCCGGTGAAACAAGAGACCGGGAAATAGTCTAATTCCGAACATCATCAATCAGATTGGCGTGGACCGCGGTGCCCCGCGGACCACCAGTCCTCAAAATGAGGCTACCCCTATTTGCACGACGCAGTGTAGGGTAGGCACTCTCCCTTCTTCCCCTTGCTCCTCGACAAGCTTTTGCTTAGACATGGGTTGTAGTGAAGGGGGGGGTCTTTCTGGCGAGCAGGGCTAGATTCACCCTAAAGGGATGACCGAAACCTTCTTGCTGCTGCGCAT